GAAAATCTGAACTTTTAGTTCTTATTTATTTTGATAAATGGATTTTCATAAAGTAAAAACTACCTCAGTTCCATTTTATTTTTATTACTTCTGTTGCCAGGTTTGTTTTTATCACGGAGAGAGAGATGAGAAACAAAAAAAAGAAAAAAGAGCTAACTGCGGCTTTTATTTAAAAACAATCAACATTAAAGTACCACAGAATTTCTTTTCTCACAGTCATACATATGGTAAATGGTCATAACTGTAATAACGCTATTAATATCTTCATCTGCCCGTAGGCAGTTTTGGGCCAACAAATCGAACTGGTCCAGGGTAGTATTAGGGAAATAACTGCAATAAATCGCAATTTCTGTTTCGACTTAGGTATCGGGACCAAGTATGGATTAATTGACCAGGCTTTCTTATCCAACACCCGAAATCAGGTCATGACTATAATAATGTAGTTAACGCTTTTCTTAGGCATTTTTAAGTCAATAAATCAAAGCTGTCCAGGGTAGTATTAAAGAAATTGAGACACTGTTGGAATGCATATTTCAATTTTTGAATTATATAAAGAACAAACACGTATTAAATAAAACCGGAATTTTTTTATGACTTCGCCTCTGAAATAAGTTTTATGATACGATTTGAATCTTCAAATTTCAACGAGATGTTTTTTTGTATAAGTATTGTCAAAAATAATTGTCATACTGACAAGGAAATCTTGCAATATCCCTGTTTTCGCTGCTGATTGTTTGTACTTTTTTAGTTAAAGTGCTGTGATGCCATACATAATCATAAAATAATGCACTGACTGATGAAATATTTGGAAGAACAGAATTTTTACCCAATTTTCTAGTGGTTGTCTAATAAGTAGTGTTTAATGTTTTTTGCTGTCAGTAACAAAGCATTTGGCACCCAACTTTCCCTCTAGCCACACAATTCGCTTCAAAAGAAATAAGAATTGTGTAGTGAACGGCATCTGAGTCACGAGTTTATTTAGCACGAGCGGGGCGCAATGGAGCGAGTTTTTAATAAACGAAAATTTCTTTCAAGCCAAAAATTTTAAAAATTATTTCGTTACATATATAAAGGGCAGTAACACAAATATTAATAATTACAGATTAATAATTACTTGTTTGAGAATGCATCTGCAACGACTTTTATTGCATTTTAAAATCAATAAAATACTATCCGATAACCAGTGCCGTTTTCAAAGTGATGGATCCTCCATAGAAGCAGTGACTCTATTCTTTGAAAATATTGTTAGTTCTTTAGAGTCCCGCGAGTATGGTGTTAAGGTCTTCTATGACCTCAGCAGCGCATTCGATTATGTAGATCACGTGTTATTATTATGGAAAATGTCATGCGATCCACCATTAAAATTCATATTATTCACATTCATATTATTAGCTAAAACATAAATTTTAAGTGTTGTTGAGGGTAGAAATAGATACAGTATAATTTTGTGGGTATGGTCGACTCTACTTCCTGTAAAACCTATTTTATGAAGTTCGTGTTTGAAATGTGTGTTTATGTGTTTCAAAATAAATCAGGTTTTGTGTTGAACAGTAAATTTCACTAGTAAAAGTATTTATGAATTTTAGATATTGAATTCACCTGCCACGCTACAGATATTTTTCTTTATTAATTTACTGACAGTACTGTATTTAATATTTCAATTTTTTTATTTCCAATACGACTATGGCAATTTTAATCTCCTACGGCAATAATTCATAGCTTTTCTCGGCAATTATTTATTTGTACTCCCTTCTGTAAAATACCTAATTACACAGCGTGCGGGAAGTGTCATTTATGTGCAGGTATTAAAAATATTTATCGAAATGTACCTATTATACTGTATCATTGATACCAATCTGTACGCGACATTTAAGGTAAGGATTCAAGGGAAGTAGTTATGTGTAATTAATTAAGGATTCCATTATTGATTATGCAGATCCCGTGATATGTCAGAGGGGTCAGCTAGAAGAGATGTTATATCAAGAATTATCCACTGTTTTTGAGCCTCCTAGAAGATCGTATGATATAAGTAGAAGAACGATCATTAATAACTAATAACAAAATGAAAAACAATATCACAATGGCAATTAAACAGAATAGTAGTAACTTAAAAGTAATATTTATGAAATAAGCTCATGAGAATTGGATCAATATATTTTGGTCAAGGTTCGCATTTTTTTATTAAAAACACATCTAATTTTGCAATCGAGCAATAGTGGGATTTGATTCTCCTCGCAAGAAATTTGTTCTCATCCTTTCAATTTTATTGGTTTATTTCTGGGTTAATCTCTGTCGGTCTTCATTATATTGCTAATTCAGCTTCGGATTTTTCTTTTATTTCTTGGGATTTACTTCGTTTATTTTTTACTTCCAGGATGTTATATTTCTCTAACAAAAGAGGATATTATTTAATTATCTTCACAAATACGGTCTCTCATATCGCTCATATTAGACCATCGAGTACAGATATCACTGATTCTTATGAAGCCGAGTCCGCTACTAAGAAGCCTCGCATTTTCGAAAGTAGATACTTAGTACATGGAGTAGACGTTCGTATTTATGCATATAAAAAGAACAACCTCACGAAAAAAGCACACCCTGAGTGATATGCTTAAAATTGAGTAGACTGTTTGAAGTAGCGACTCCACGAATATGTGAGAGTGTATTCCATTTTAGCAGTTTTGACTTGTCTTGGTATCTGTCCAAATATTTTGTAGGTTGTGTAGATTTAATAATTTGATTTGAGGTCGAGGTATTCTGGAGAGGATTCTTCTGAGAGTGAGACCGTATGTGTGAAGATAATTAAAAAATATCACTTCTTGTTCGCCCTCTTCTGCAACACCATCATGAAAGTCTTCATCATTAAAATGCTTAGCCACGTTGTGCAAGATAAACCAACTCATGACAAGAGAAGGCACTTTTCCTATTGTGTTATGTAGAATAGGAAAACGCTGTTTTAATCGACTATTATAACTCGCACTCTTGTTAACAGCGTATTGGATGACCTTTGTTTTTTCCATATCCTAGATTTGTGTACCGATCCTCACCAAGAGACATAAACACTTATGAACTCTTCATTTGAATTGCACGTTGCCTGCACCTTTATACTATCAAAGTTTTTTCTGTTAAGATATTCGTCTGCGTGAATAGGAGTAATAGGAGTAGGAGAGAGAGTGCAGTATAGGAACATGAGTACAGTCTATAGCAGCAATAGCTAAAGGAAAATAACACTTTTCTTGGCACCTATGTTTAGCATTCTGTATATCTTCAAGTAAGGATGAAAATTTGGGCACCAGTGGGGCTAATTGGGCTAATTCCAATTTAGAAGTCTAAATCACTAACCCTCATTCTTATACATTAACTCTACTAAATCGATATTCCCTATGAATCTTAAACATCTTACGCTGATAAATAGGCACAAATTCGGCCATCCCGTGCGGATATCATTAATTCTTATGAAGGCGAGTATGCTAGAAAGGAGCTTGGCATTTTCGAAAGTAGATATTCAGTAGACGAAGTAGACGCTCGCATTTTTGCACATAAAAATAAAAGTCGGTACTTAATGAGCGAGTACATCCTCACGGAAATTAACCGACACTCAAAACTTGGAGCTTATACCCACATTTTTATGCATATCAAATGGGGTGGTTTCTTTAAAAATGTAAGTAAAAAGTAGTAGCTTACTTTTATGCATATCAACAATTAACTCTGCTAAGCCGATATGAGGCACGATAGTCTACTTCCCTTGATTGACACTCGTATTTATGCATATAAAAATAAAAGTCGGTACTTAATGAGCGAGTACATCGTCACGGAAAGAGACAGACACTCACAAGTTGGAGCTTATGCTCATATACTAATGTATATCGAATGGAGTGGCTTCTATATAAATGTGATTAAAGAGTAGCCACTTAACTTTATGCATATCACCGATTGTCATCACAACAATAGCAATTTTATCAATGACTTTTAGTCCTCATACGACAGTTTGAGGCGTACCCTCCGTTTGGCGCGAAGCGGTTTTTATTCGAGACGCGAGAAAATAACACGCTCACGCGAACGTACAATTTTTAAAACCGGAGCGTTGCCGGATTTGCATCCTCGGCGCGGACTCGTGTAGTGGGTCAATAAGCGCAAGCCGAAGGTACCGCCAGTCGGGGTACCAACTTTCAGTAGGTGAACGACCGACACTGTCCAAATGTCATCGAACTCTTACATTTGTTGCTGTTCGAGGCGGGCGCGCCACTAACGACCAATAATCATCGATAAAACCGAGATGGCCGGATTATTTTTGGAAAGGTACTCCGTAATAGAAAACGCCAATGCCAGATGGTTTCGCGTCGGTTCGGCGAAATTGAACGCGTTTCGATAACTGTCATTAAACTCGGCGGTTTCGCAAATTTGGAAATTCCCGTCTCGACACGCCGTCGGACGGAAATCATGGACAAAAAGTTCGCAGGACTTGAGAGTATTCTGGACAAATTGGTGGATGCCGCGAAATTGACAAGCGCATAATGGAAGATCGAGGCCATCTTAATAATAATAATAATAATAATAAATACATTTATTGTTGTGGCAAATATACATATTAATAGACTACAAAATATTAGATGGCAACAATTTTAAGGTAATAATAAATCGCAGATATCCAGCAAAGCAAGACACTGTTCAAGACTCAATTTAATGTATATGTTACCGTGAAAGTCTGAAAACTGGTCCTCCTTATTTCTTTTATGCATGATTTCATCATATTTTGTGCTCCGAACATGCACAAGCACCAAGTTTTTGAATAAAATGTTCATTTAATTCAAAAAACAATATTACTATAAAAAATTTCAAAAATATTACGGTCTAAGTTTTACATTCGAAAATGCTAATTTTACTCTTACAAGTTATATAAATATAGGTAAATTTATCTCATTATGGTGACAAAATACTACTTGCTTTGTAGTTTTTTGTTTTCATCGTTTCCATAAGATTTTCTCGGCGAATCGACCAACCTCTCATCTGATACGGCACCGAGATTTTCAGGAAGGAAATCTACATGGAAGTCCAAAAATGGAACTTTAAGAGGCATCTTCTTCTTCACGTGCCATCTCCGCTGCGAAGGTTGGCAATCATCAATGCAATTTGTATCCTTGAGACTGCAGCACGAAACAATTGGTTGGAGTTACATCCAAACCATTCTCTCAGATTACGCAACCATGACATCCCTCTCCTTCCGATACTCCGTTTACCTTGGATTTTACCTTGCATAATCAGTTGTAGCAATTTATATTTTTCTCCGCGTGTAATATGCCCCAGATACTGCAATTTTCTTATTTTGACCGTATCCATTATTTCACGTTGCTTGTCCATCCTTACAAGTACTTGTTCGTTTGTCATTCTGTCCGTCCAGGATATCCTTAAAATTCTTCGGTACGTCCACATCTCAAAAGCTTCTAGTTTATTCAGGCATTGTTTATTCAAAGTCCAGGCCTCCACGCCATACAAGAGGACCGAGAAAACATAGCATTTAAGCATCCTCACTCTCAAACTTAAGCTCAAATCCCTGCTGCACAACAATTTCCTCATATTATTAAAAGCACTTCTGGACTTTTCTATTCTTATTCTGATTTCTTTGGAATAGTCATTTGTCTCGTTAATGTTCGTCCCCAGATAATTATAATTCCTTACTTGTTCTATCTGTTCATTCTTTATATAAAGGTTTGTATTGATAATAGATTTTTTTGTAATTATCATAAATTTAGTTTTCTTTGTATTGAGTGATAGCCCAAACTCTTCGCTTACTTCTACAATTTTGTTCGTAATTCTCTGTAGATCATCCATATTTTCTGCTATTAGCGCGGTGTCATCGGCATATCTAATATTACAAACGGGTAAGCCATTAATCTTTACTCCAGCTGTTTCATCTTGGAGTGCTCTCTTAAATATTTCTTCGGAGTATAGGTTGAACAGAGATGGTGATAAGACACATCCCTGTCTAACACCTCTTTTTATTTTTATTCTGTCTGTCACCTCATTGTGTACCCTTATCACGGCCTCTTGTTGGTAATACAAATTATTTATTATTCTTATGTCTCTAGAGTCAATGTTTTTACTTTTAAGCAGTCTTATGAGTGTTTTATGTTGGACGGTGTCAAATGCCTTATTGTAGTCCAGGAAACAAACGTACACATCCTGATTTACATCTAAGCACCGCTGCGTTAATACGTTGAAGGCAAACAGTGCTTCTCTAGTCCCTAGTCCATTCCTAAAACCGAACTGCGTATCCTCAATATCTATTTCTAACTTTTTATATATTCTGCGATGGTTGATTTTCAGAAGTACCTTAAGTATGTGACACATTAAGCTGATGGTACGATGGTCCGAGCACTGTCTTGCGTTGGTCTTTTTGGGGATAGTTATAAATGTTGATTGTAGCCACTCTTTCGGTAAAATTCCAGTTTTGTATACACTGTTGAAGAGATGTGTTAGAAGATGTATGTTATGATTGTCAATGAGTTTAAGAACTTCTGCTGGTATTTCATCCAGTCCCGTAGCTTTCCCGGTTTTCATTTCCTTGATGATGTGTTCTACTTCGTCCTTCGTTATTTCTGGTCCAATATCATCACATATATACTCACTACTTTCTTCATCTCGCTGATCTTCGTACAGTTGTTCTACATAGTTTTTCCATACTTTCAATTTTTCTTTTGTGTCCATAATATCTCCATTTTCATCCACCAGCAAGTTGTTATTGTAATTGCGTTTGTTGGTTAACTCTTTAATTCTCTTGTGCGCATTGAAACCATCATGTTTACTTTGTAATTTCTCGATTTCCTCACACTTTTCCCTGTGCCAGTTTTCTTTGGCTTCCCTAATTTTACTTCTGATCTTGCTTTGTAGATATCGGTATTTTTGTTGATCTTTGTTTTTGTATGTTCTTCTCTCGTCCATGAGACCTAATATTTCAGTTGTCATCCATTCCTTTCTTACCTCTGTTTTCTTACTAAGTTGTTCCTTGCATGTTTTTAGTATTTCTGTTTTAAACTGGAGCCAGTTGTTGTTTATATGTTCTTCATTGTTATTTTCTATGCATTGCAAGGTTTGCAATGCCCCATTTATCTTATTTTTCACTCTTTCCCTTGTTTCTGGATTACGCAATTGATTAGTGTCAATTGTATCTTTCTTTGTTCTATGGTCAATTCTTTTTAATTTTATCCTTACTTTTGCAATTAGTGGGTTATGGTTAGAGGGTATATCTGCACCCGGATATGTTTTAACTGACATTATACCATTCCTGTATCTTTCATTGATCATTAAATAATCTATCCGGTTTCTAACTATTTTCTCTTTGCTATCTTGTGGTGATATCCATGTATATAAACGTCTATTAGGTAATTGAAAGCATGTGTTTGTGATAACCATATTTTTCTCTTGGCAGAATTGTACTAACCTTTCACCTCTGTCGTTCCTTTCCCCCAGACCGAAGTTTCCCATCAGATTATTTGTCTTTCCTTTACCAACTTTAGCATTTAGGTCACCCATTATTATTGTTACATCTTTTGCTTTGACTTGTTTCAGTATTTCGTTTATTTGTTCATAAAACATTTCTACTTCCTGATCATCTTTGTCTGCTGTTGGCGCATATACTTGGATTACGTTCATCCTTCCTATGTTCATCCTAAATTGTAGTAACATTACACGTTCTGACAGTGGTACGAAGTTCAGAACATATCGGGAAACATTTTTGTTGATTATTATGCCTACTCCATGTCGGTGTTGAGGGTCGGAGCTACCTGAGTAATATATTAGATGTTGATCTTTCAACTGACATTCTCCACTTCCCGGCCAACGCGTTTCGCTTACACCTAGGATATTGATGTTCATTCTTTGCATTTCCTGGACAATATTATGTGCTTTTCCGGGTTCATACATGCTAGTGACATTCCATGTTCCAATCTTGTATGTTTGTTTACTAGTCATTTGACAGGGTTTTCGCATGTTGACGACCTGAGAGGCCCTGTTTCCCCTCCTGCCGGATCTTGACTTCCGAATATCATGATCAGTAAGGTCTTTGGTAATGTGACAGTTATTATGTCTAAAGATACATACATTCAAAAATCAAACGAAATTCTGATGGATCGGACCTATTACGAGCGTCTCAGATGTGATCCTACATCTACTTACCAACAAAAAGCTAACAAACTTGTCAAATCATTAAAAGATCAAAAACAATTAACAAATGAGGTAGCCAAAACTTTAAATATATATAATCAAACTTGTCCTAAATTTTATGGCTTACCCAAAATACATAAACCCCAATTGTCCTTAAGACCGATAATTTCATCAATTAATGCTCCGAACAGTAAACTGGCTTCATTGTTGACTCAGGTTTTAACCAAAGCATATAATAAGAATAATGATTATTTCACAGGTGATTCATTTGAGTTTTCTTCATTTATCAATGACAAACAATTACCTAATAAGTATGTTCTTGTGAGCTTGGATGTCGTCTCTTTATTTAGTAATATTCCATATAATTTGGTAGAAAAAAGTATAAAAAAACATTGGAACAGAATTAGAAACCACACTGATTTGTCACAAATTAGTTTCCTAAAGATACTTCAGTTTGTATTTGATACAACGTATTTTAGATTTAACAATGAATTTTACAAACAAAAATTAGGTACACCGATGGGTGCCATCATTTCTCCAATATTAGCTCAATACGTTATGGATGACCTACTTGAGGTGTGCGTAGATAAGCTGTCGTTTCAGTTACCATTTCTGAAAAAATATGTGGATGATATAATTACTTCCATACCTGAAAGTTGCGTGAGGGAAACTCTCACAGTGTTTAACAGCTATGATGCACACATACAATTTACAGTAGAGGAGGAAATTGATAAAAGCGTACCATTTCTGGACACTAAAGTGATCCGGAACAACGATAACAAAATTATATTAGATTGGTACATAAAACCGACCAGTTCGGGGAGATATATGAATTTCCACTCTTACCATACAACGAAAACAAAAATAAATTTGGTCATAGCATTAAAGACACGAATAGAGAGGATTTCTCACCCATCACTAAGACAAAAAAATCTTAATAAGCTTTACGACATGCTGATTAACAACTCATACCCAAGTAGGTTAACTAAAAAATTGTTATATAGCACGACCCCACTAAGAGCTCCAAACCCGCGGAACACGGTCGTCCACTCAGATAGCCCAGAAATGGACGATCTGAGATGTTTTTATTTTTCATTGCCATACATTAAAGAATTAACGACCACACTCACAAAAATTCTGAGAGCACAAACAAATATTAAGATAGCATATAAACAAACAAAAACATTGGGGAGTGTCTTTAGCAAACTAAAAGATAAGGATGAGGTACAAAAGAATTCAGAAGTAATTTATAGCATCCCCTGTAATCAGTGTGATCAGGTATACATAGGACAGACATCGCGAGTACTTAAGGATAGAATTACGTCACACAAGAGTGATTGCAGACTCAATAAGAACACCTGTTCATTAGCAACACACTCTAACCAAATGGATCACGATGTTAACTTTGTTGAAACAAAAATTCTCCATAAAGAAAGCAACTACAACAAAAGAGCAATTTTGGAAATGGTGGAGATCTTCTTGGAACCGAAATCGGTCAATAAAAGATCTGACATTGATGGCCTCAGTGTGATCTACTCTAATGTCTTAACTTTACAACCAACCGTCAATCGAATTGCGTTTGCTGATAATAGTGTCGTCACAATGTAATTATAATTTAGAAAAATAGTCCCAAGCCTCTATACATTAGGTGCCTTGTAAACAAAAAGGAGGTAACAAAAGGAAAAAAAGAAGGGAAAAAAAACTGGACGGCTGGCGGTAGTCATATTAATAAAACCTTTCCATCATTTGCGTTTTGCGTTTGAAGTAAAATTCGTTTAAATAAAATGTAACAACAATTTCGTCTAGATGGCTGCCCTCGGTTATAATAATTAACGGTCGTATTTGATTCTTTCTGTTATCCGGATGAGTTTGGTGTTGGCCTATAATGGCACTGTAGCAGTAAGTACTTTAACTAGAAGACTTTAGTATTAAATAACTAAGAGCCGCTTTCATATTGTAGCCCCTGAAGAAGAAAATAAACATTTTCGAAAGCTTGGTGTAGCACAAAAGCCTTTTATTTGAGCCCTCATCAGGACCGATACCCCAATTAACTAAAATTTGTTGTTCAACTAGCCGGTCACGACTACCGTTTTGTGTATTTTACAGGAATGGGGTTTTTCCAATCAATAAAAGCTCGATATGGAAACGAAGCAGTTTCACTACTCAAACAATGGGCCAGGCTCGGCAGCAAACTATCATCGTTTGGAAACAGGAAGATATTCTTACTCAAATGCAGACAGACAGGGATCATACCGAGACACATTACAGACGGGACCAGAAATTTGGGCATGCTTTTGGATTTGACCGATGGACATATGGGGGACCGCATTCGGGATTTCAATACCAGGTTGAATAACAAATTAATTAATTTAGAAATATCACTCACTATTTCAACTATCAATCGTATAGAAAAATCACTGAAACAAGTAAGAGAGAAAGTTTTGACATTGATTCCGGGGGATGTTGTTGACGAATTTGGTAAAAGACAACAAGGGTCATGTGATAAAAAATTCAAAACCATCAAAAAAAAGAACATAAACAAATTTCAAAACTTGAAGTCGCAACAGCATCACTTAACAATCAAAACACAAGATAATTGGGTTAAGAATATTTCAGAGGTTGAGGTCCCGGATGATGTCTTGAGGTTTCTCTCTTTAGGTTCGAAATTTTCCGTGCCACCAAGATGCAATGAAATCTCAGTCAAACGTTTAATTGCTGATGTAGAAACTATAATTAAAGTTGTACCAGAGAACGCAAAAAATACTGTAAGAGCTAAGTTTACTAATGTATTGACTAATTTTTTAAAACAACCGGCAAAGCGTAGCTATATAGACATTTTGTTAAAAAAGACAAAAAAATTTTTTAAGGATCACGCTGAGTTGGTCGTTTCTAGGGCCGATAAAGGGAATGTGACAGTTATTATGTCTAAAGATACATACATTCAAAAATCAAACGAAATTCTGATGGATCGGACCTATTACGAGCGTCTCAGATGTGATCCTACATCTACTTACCAACAAAAGCTAACAAACTTGTCAAATCATTAAAAGATCAAAAACAATTAACAAATGAGGTAGCCAAAACTTTAAATATATATAATCAAACTTGTCCTAAATTTTATGGCTTACCCAAAATACATAAACCCCAATTGTCCTTAAGACCGATAATTTCATCAATTAATGCTCCGAACAGTAAACTGGCTTCATTGTTGACTCAGGTTTTAACCAAAGCATATAATAAGAATAATGATTATTTCACAGGTGATTCATTTGAGTTTTCTTCATTTATCAATGACAAACAATTACCTAATAAGTATGTTCTTGTGAGCTTGGATGTCGTCTCTTTATTTAGTAATATTCCATATAATTTGGTAGAAAAAAGTATAAAAAAACATTGGAACAGAATTAGAAACCACACTGATTTGTCACAAATTAGTTTCCTAAAGATACTTCAGTTTGTATTTGATACAACGTATTTTAGATTTAACAATGAATTTTACAAACAAAAATTAGGTACACCGATGGGTGCCATCATTTCTCCAATATTAGCTCAATACGTTATGGATGACCTACTTGAGGTGTGCGTAGATAAGCTGTCGTTTCAGTTACCATTTCTGAAAAAATATGTGGATGATATAATTACTTCCATACCTGAAAGTTGCGTGAGGGAAACTCTCACAGTGTTTAACAGCTATGATGCACACATACAATTTACAGTAGAGGAGGAAATTGATAAAAGCGTACCATTTCTGGACACTAAAGTGATCCGGAACAACGATAACAAAATTATATTAGATTGGTACATAAAACCGACCAGTTCGGGGAGATATATGAATTTCCACTCTTACCATACAACGAAAACAAAAATAAATTTGGTCATAGCATTAAAGACACGAATAGAGAGGATTTCTCACCCATCACTAAGACAAAAAAATCTTAATAAACTTTACGACATGCTGATTAACAACTCATACCCAAGTAGGTTAACTAAAAAATTGTTATATAGCACGACCCCACTAAGAGCTCCAAACCCGCGGAACACGGTCGTCCACTCAGATAGCCCAGAAATGGACGATCTGAGATGTTTTTATTTTTCATTGCCATACATTAAAGAATTAACGACCACACTCACAAAAATTCTGAGAGCACAAACAAATATTAAGATAGCATATAAACAAACAAAAACATTGGGGAGTGTCTTTAGCAAACTAAAAGATAAGGATGAGGTACAAAAGAATTCAGAAGTAATTTATAGCATCCCCTGTAATCAGTGTGATCAGGTATACATAGGACAGACATCGCGAGTACTTAAGGATAGAATTACGTCACACAAGAGTGATTGCAGACTCAATAAGAACACCTGTTCATTAGCAACACACTCTAACCAAATGGATCACGATGTTAACTTTGTTGAAACAAAAATTCTCCATAAAGAAAGCAACTACAACAAAAGAGCAATTTTGGAAATGGTGGAGATCTTCTTGGAACCGA